TCCCTCAACCCACTCCTATCCTATCAATAGCCACTCGCCCCTAAAGACACTGCAATAAAACATACTGAACGACGCACGCTTTGCCATGGCTCATTTGAGGTAATGTATGGGAGAAGCACAGGCTTTATGGATATGCCGGTCTGCGTATGTACGGATCTTGTCTCTCGCGATCGTACTGATCACACGTACACATTGAGAGCCACAAGATACAAGATACTAATAAGCTACAGTTACTATCTACAATGCCGCGATAATGCCAAATCACGATACCTCGAAGCCCTCAATGTCGCCCTTCGCATCGTACTCGCGGATCATTTGCTCGTACATGGCCATCCCTCCTCCATGAAGCACCCTCCGCATAGCCTGTCGCCGATGTTCAGGGTCGCCTCCAGCCATACGCATCGTCGCGCCTTCATGATTGAAGTAGCCCGGCGTACAGGCTAGCACGACAGAGTACCACAGCGCCCGCCTCTCAACGTCGTCCGTCCACGCATCCTCTGCCTGCTTAGTTGGCTCGATGACCATCTGAGTAGGATCCGAAGCCTTTCGCGCAGCCTCCTTCAATATACTGGCGATATGTGTGGACTCGAGGTCGAAGACCGCGGTGAGGTTGGGCGAGCCTGGCCCACCACCGAGACCGGGATACAGCAAATTGGGGAAGCCGTTTGTAGCGATGCCGTGTATCGTCGCAAAGTCGGCAGAGCCATATTTGTCTTTGAGACGGCGGCCGTTACGGCCTACAATGGGTATGCCGAAGAGTTCGGCAGGGGCTGCGCTCGCACCGGTCGCCAGCAGGAATCCTGTGGCAAGAATGAGCACGTCCAGCTCATACTCGACTCCATTGGCGACCAGGCCTCGTGGTGTGCACCGCTCCACGCCTTTACCATCTGTGTCTACAAGCGTGACGTTGGGCTGGTTGAACGCGGCAAAGTACCCATCCTGGAAGGTTGGTCGTTTGCACCACATGGGATACCAAGGCTGTAGCCGCTCTGCCGTGGCTTGGTCCTTCGTGACGCTGTTTCGCACATGCTCTCGTGCCTGTTCTGCCAGTGGCACATCCATCTCGTAGAGCGATCGAGCGTGCTCTTCTAAATTCTGAGGTGTGACGAAACGTGGCCCTCCAATGAAGCCAGCAAACCCGCGCGCATACTGCGTCCAGCCATCGGCGACAAGATCTGGGTGCTCCTCTGAACGCTTCTCCCCATCGAAGAAGGTGTCGAAGTTGAGCCGGCGAGCGCGTTGCCAGCCAGGTCCCGTTGCCACGTTTTGTGCCCATGTGCTCTCGTCCGTGGTCTGTTGGCGACGGGGTACGCAGTACGATGGTGTGCGCTGGAAGGCATACGTGTGGCCGGCCCATTTCGCTACCTGTGGTATCACCTGCACCGCCGTCGCACCCGTGCCAATAACGCCGACACGCTTGCCTTGAAGTTTCGAAAGTGTAGGGTCCGTCGGCGAGCCACCAGTGCAGCTGAAGTCCCATCGCGCGGTGTGGAAGACGGGAATGTTGGCGCGCAACTCCTCGAAGCCGTCGAGCTTAGGCATCCTGGGTTCCGTAAATATGGTACTAGCTGGAACGACAAACTGCGTCAAGATGGTCATCTCCTCGCCATTGCCGTGCTCCCTCCGCATGCGGACCATCCAGCGCCGCTTCGTTTCGTCCCATGTCGCGCCGAGCACCCGTGTTGAGAACTGCCCACGCAGTCCAAAGTGCGATGCCACACGTTCGCAGTGTTGACGGATCTCGTCGCCTGACGCGTACTTGTGTTTGGGCTTGTAGCCTGTTTCCTCGAGGAAAGGCATGTAGATGTAGCTCTCTACATCGCATTGTAAACCTGGGTATCGGTTCCAGTACCATGTCCCACCAAAGCCCCCCGCGACGTCTACCAGGTAGATGCCCTTCGCCGAGAAGCCCGCTTCTACCAATCGTCCTGCAGCTAGCAGACCTGCGTGGCCGGCACCGATGATGAGGAACTGGATGTTGTCGCCGTCCTTGAGTGGACCCGCGTCCTGTTGCTGCCCTTTGTCAACCCATGGGTCATCTGCGAGCGGGGCTTCTGCTTCGCTGTGTAGAGTCGTGTACTGCTGGAAACCATCGGCTCGCAGTCGCTTGTCGCGTTCCTGCGCGTATCGGGCTTGGAGGTTGGCAACGTCGGGTACAGCCATTGGAGTTACTGTTCGTTCCCTCTACAAATGAAAGTTATGCACAAGAAGTTTGGAGTGGGAACGAGCGCTTTGCATCAAAGTACACAGTTTTATGTCAATCGCCAAGTTAAGTGTTTTATTGCACCGGTGCGCTGCAGTTCCAACGCGCTGCTACTTCTTCTCCCGTAGCCGCTTCTTCACCCGAGCCGGCTCGAGCCGATGAAGTATGAAGGGAAAGTAATCTTGCCATGATATCGTGTTCAAGTGGTGTCGGGCCCCGACTTTACGAAAATTATCCGAGTTTCGAGTTGGTGTGGGGACATGGGTTGCATCGACGGTGGATTTTGACGCTATACCCAGGTAGTCCTGTTTGGGGACGAGCCCTCCTCCACGCAATGCCCCACGAAGCTGACCACCCCAATGGTGTCATGGAACCTGATGACGATCTAGATGCCTTTACAGAACCCTGCAGCCTTTGCCTCACGAAGGATCAACATCTTCGGAAGCAAGAAAGTGGCTAGCGTTCGGCCCCAGACATGAGAATCTCCTCAGGAAAGCCTCCTTACATCCGGACCCATACGTCACGGCGTGTAGGGGCGCTCCGAGGACGAGTAAGAGTTTAGATGTCAGCTCAATCAGCGTCCGCTTCACAGGTAGGTGAAGCGAATCGTGCAGCAGAGATACGAAGTGTCTTTGGCTACTCTCTGTGCTCCATACTTCCACGATAAATGTACCGATAGACCCGCAAACTCTCCGATAAGCCTTGCAAAACGAGTTGGGTAGGTGGTGTATGGAAAACGCGGCCAATATGATTGGGCAGCACAAGTCAGAGAGCCTGACAGCGTGCAAAAACTCTACAGCTTAAGAACTGCTTTGCTGTCGAGGTGGTGAAACTTCTAGAGGCCACTCGTTCTGAGTCTCGTCTTCTGCAATTTTTCCTTTCGAGACCTGCGTATCGTGGTTGAGCTACAAGCAACATGTCGACCCAGCAAACTCAAACCCAGACCCTCGTGGAGACCGCACCTCCCAGACTGACGGTCATCGGGTCACGACCCAAAGATGTGCCACGGAAGACTTCCTTGCGCCCATACCTCGAGCTCACGCGGTTCACCAAGCCTGCTGGACTGTTGGGCGCCGCCTTCCCCTATTTCATCGGCTTCCTCTACTCGGTCAACTTGACCGACCCAACAGCGCTCGGCCCAGCCGATTGGGCCAAGCTGAGCGGCATCTTCATGCTCGATGTCCTGATCCTCCGTAGCTTCGGCTGCGCCTGGAACGACACTGTCGACCAAGACCTTGACCGGCAAGTCGAGCGTTGCAAGAAGCGGCCGCTCGCCCGCGGTGCCATCACCACGCCAGAAGCTCTCGCCACAACCCTCTTCCTCGTCGCATCGCGCCACGTTCTGATCAACGCTACCTTGCCCGCCCGCGCGGGTGAGCACGCCGTTTGGATCACCTTCCTCGCCCTCGTCTACCCCTTCATGAAGCGCTTCAGCAACTTCCCACAACTCTGCCTGGGCGGTGGTGTGGGCTGGGCCGTCTACTTAGTCGATGCCGCTGTCGTTGATGGACCATACCCAGCAAGCTCGGCAAACAAGCTCAACGTGGAGGATCGCAGCAAGGCTCTCCTCGCCATGTGGGCCTGCCAGTCCCTTTTCAACATCACCTACGATACTGTCTACGCTTTCCAGGACATCAGAGATGACCTGAACGCAGGGGTGGGATCGCTGGCTATAGCCGTGCGCCACTACCCCAAGGTATTCCTGCTGTCCATCGCGAGCGCCATGGCTGCCTTCTTGTGGGCGACCGTGACCTGTGGTGGTCTGATGCGCGGTCCGTTCATGGCTAGCGCCGCTGTGTCTTCATTTGCTGCCTTTTTCATGTTGGCTCGGCTCGACGTCTGGAACCCAGCCAGGTGTAAGGACTTCTTCGTCTACAGCCAGTGGTGGGTCAGTGGGGTTCTGGTGACTGGTCTGATCGGCGAGCTGTTGATGGCGAGGATGTGAGTATGCGACGGATAGCTGCTTGCAGCTCCCGCAATGCGTTCAACACCCGTATGAAGAAGTGCTCTCGAAACAGAGACTTCGCGAACATAACGAACTTACGAATCTGGTATTCGATGACATGCAGGATTTCTGGTCAGAATGTGGAAAGGATGAAATTTCATAACAGGATATGGGCTTTCAAGTGATCTAGAGCTTCTGTATATAGAGAAGAATGTACTTTGATCCAAACGATCGAACTCGAGGGCTCAACAACTTCCATTGAATAGCGTATGATAAGTGATGCGACTGATTGACCAAGCAGCAAAATCCTGTCCATCACCGCCGTCCCTAGATACGCATCGCTTCAAGGTACACAACCGCAGTCAGTCACAGAGAGCTTGACGAATGGTTATTGTTGTTGATCGGGGAGGCCGCTGTGGGCGCTGAGAGCTGTATGGAGACGAAACAGAGTTGGCGCCTTGGCGTCGGAACGCGCGCCACGGGCCGTCAACGTGGCTGGCGTCTGGCAGGAACGTGGGAAGTACCCATCACTCCTTCCCAGCGCGACGGGCGTGACACGCGCGATCAAGGATGTACTCGAGAATGACGACACCTCCCACTATAGCGCCGTTCGGACCGCAAACATGCATCACCCAACGCATACCCTGGCCAGCAACAAGGCCCTCGATCGGACCGCGTCGGACGCGACGAACCATTCGGCGGAATAGTAGTTACGATGTGAGGATTGAGACAAATAATCATGACGTACTCGTTGGAAGTCATCACACTGGGCATTGGGAGAAGGGACGCGATCAACGATGCTTGAAGAACCTCTTGGTTTGAGCAACTACGTATGGGCGCCACAGTCTCTATCTAAAGCTCTGGAATCGGCACAGGTCCAGCGGGCGGCTTACCGCCAGGCAACCAACCTTGGTGCACCGTCCTGACACCCCAACTTGCCGGGTAATCGATCTTTGTGTGGAAGAGTCCGTAGTTCTGGAAGAGAAGCAAGTCTTGCTCTTCCTCAGGTCCGACCCAGATGTGCTCAGGCTTGATCATGCGCCCTTGAAAGCTGTCAAGGAACTTCCTGACTTCGCCCAAGTCGTCTATGACCTTTGGAGTGTCGTTCGGACCCTTACGGATGAATAACCGGCGGGCGAGGTTGTGCTGGCACTGGAACGACTTCTTGCCAGTGACGGGATTGACCCATACCAGCGGGAGCTACAACGGTATTAGCACCAGATCCCTTGAGTCTGTTGTATAGGCAGGCATACCTTTTTCTGCCACTCCTTGCTTCCCTCCTCATGCGCCTCCACCTCCTCGTCTGGCAACTCCCTGCCCTCGCTCGCTACACCCAGACCATTTGGTGCACCGCGGCAGCCCTTGATCTTCTCGTACGGCCAGTACATGTACTCAACCCAGCTGTGGTCCACCATCTGCTTCTCCTCGTCGCTCAGCGACTCATACAGCTGCTCGACATCCACAAACGCCGTGCGTCCTGGCTTTACTTCCATGCTCTGACCCGAGCCGTCGGCCCATTCCACCGTCTGTGTCGCCTTGCCCTCTGTAGGGAACTTGATGGGTCGGAGCATGGTGAAGGTCGGGGGATCGTATTTCCAGTAGGTGCCGTCCACGTGCCACCAGTGGAAGCGAGTCTTTCCAGCCTCGAAATCTTCGTCTGCAAGCGGCTTGCAGTAGTATTGGTTGAAGTTGGTAGCGCCCATGTTTAGGCCTGGCTTGCCATAGCGCGGGTCGTCTTGGGGGCCTTTGCCAATGAAGACAAAGGCGCCTGCGTCAGGGACTTCGACATAGTTGATCGCTGCCTGATCATCCATCAGCGCTCCGTCGTACTTTGCAGTGGCGGAAGTTCTGTCGCTGGACTTACCACTATACCATCCTTGGGGTAGAACGCGCGAGCGAAGGTGGTGTTGTCTATCTTACAAGAGTCCGGGTCGAGCTTCTGGAGCAGCTCCCAGCCACGCTTCGGTTCCAGGTCATGTTGGCCTTTGATGATGAGAAGCTTGTGCTCCCAGGTGGCTTTCTGCAGCTGTGCTACCGTCTCGTCCGTGAACTTGTTCAGGTCGAGACCAGTGACGATGGCTCCAAACTAAGAGGAAAGATGTGAGCGACTGAAAGCAAGAAGAGCGCTCATGCATGGATTCAACTCGTACCTTGCAAGTCTTTCCCGAAGGATGGACCAATGGCTCAATCTTGAAGTTGCTTGACATGGTGGTAATGGCGAACGATGTGTGTATGAGATGAGTATTGCGCGCACGATATCGCGACTGCAGTTGTACAATGACCAAAAGTATGGGGCGCTTGTTAGCTTACATACAAGCTGCATGTCACTGTGCAAAGCCCCATGTCTAGATCGCGAGAGTGTCGCGATTCGCGGACCAATTTGGCAAGTCGGAATCCGGGGTAAACCAAAATCCACCGAATATCGCAGCTCGCGCGCTGCGGTGGTTTGAGTAACGTCGCTTTGCCCTCACATAATCGCCCCGGGGTGAGATGGAATACGAGCTAACCTGCCGATGATCGAAGATGCAAGCAACTATTGCTCATGATCACTGTCCAGATGGCCTTTGCCGGCGTGCAGTTTCGGAAAGACGTTCCGGCTATCGGAACAGTTTTGGGGAGAGCTTATCGATACGGAGATGTCTTGGCGAAGAAGCACCGAAATTCTCATTAGGCATCCCGGCCTGACCAGGTCCACACCAAGGGGCGACATTGTATACAACCGTTCTCGTGCCAATGAACACCAACCAAAAATCGCTAAAAGATACATTCACAACTTCTCATGCACCGCTGTTCGAGCCCCGACTACCTGAACGCCATCTCCCTGCATGCTGTACGGCACAAACATCTTCCGTTCCAGCCCAACTTCCTTCAAGATACGATCCCACTTAGCCAATGACCTCTCTTGTGCCCCATAATTGGCCATCATCAGCAAATCAAACGATGCGCCGTACCAGTGCGCGCCCTCATCCTGGATGACAAGCTCGTCCAGCAAGATGACTGAGTCAGGAGCAAGAGCGTCTTTGAGTTGAGAAAGGATGTTGTAGCAGGCCTGATCAGGCCAGTCATGCAGGATGTTGCGTAGGTAGTAGACGCACGCTCCCTTGACTGGCTGCGGCTGTGTGAAGTCATGGTGGACAACCTTCAGTCCCTCAATACTCTTTGCAGAATCGATGGCCGCCGCGTGCGTGTCCTGCAGCACAACACGTCCCTGCAGCTGGGGAAATCTCCTCAACACCTCCCTAGCCTGGTGTCCGTATCCGCCACCGACGTCCACGAAGAGAGTTCGGTGATTATCTCCCGTAGTGGAGCCGTGCACGTACTTCTCGAGCGGAAACACGTCGAGCCAGCTCTTCTGCCCCACTCGCTGAAACGACATGTACTCGTTGAAGGCTTGTTGATGACGGGGTCGCTGCGATAGCCACTCAAAGAAGTGCAGGTCCGTGTTCTTGCCCAAGTTGAACGGAAGATGCTTGTTGTCCAGCGGTTGCTTGTAGCCATTGTCCGCCATCCACTTTGGTATCGCATTGTACGTTGCGATATTCCTCTCTGTTCTGCAAAGTAAATTAGTTACAAGCCTCAGAATCAAGGTCCAGTGGTACTCACACATGGAAGATCACGGATTCAAGCCCTGACATGGCTAGGTATCGCGTGATGTTTGTGGCCCGGTACGTCTCCACTCCGACTTGCTCCACCATCCACTGCGTTGCTGCATATCGTAGCACTCGCACTAGCAGTGCCTCCTCAGCGCCCAACTCGGCAGCCAATTGACTCACGCTCATCGCCGTACCCTGCCGCGCAGCAAGGAGTCTCCACAGCCCCAGATCGATGCCCACTTGCACCATGTTGGGTGGCAGTGCGCAAAAGATCAGACGCTGCATAGTGTCCCATGGTTGCTCGAGCTTGAGAGAGGCCATCCTGGCAGCTTCGAGAAATCGAAGTCGCTTTTCCTCGTCTTTGTAAAGAGAGGCGGGGATGTGGCCGGCGGCCAGAGTCTCGAGAGCATCAAGGATGTTGTCGGCTTCGACGTTTTCGTCATAAGGTGCATCTGAAGGTTCAGACAGAAACGGAATGGCAGACATGGTCGTAAACTCTTCACTGATGAATTGGTGTAGAGGTCGTTGATGATGAGATACAAGACTCTGCGACCAGGAACTATGAAGTTATACGTATTTTGACAGCACAGACACATCTCGATATTGCCTGTGCTTCTTCGGTACATTGTGAATCATTGAGAGTCGTTCGTATCATCGGTGGCCGAGATCGTCGTACCGGGGGAGTGGTAACGTGGTTTAGTAGTGACGACTGTTTGAAGATCTGGACTCGAAAACACCGCGCTATCTGTTGTCATTATGGCTGATAGTAACCCCCGAAAGAGAAAACAAACCGAGCCATTGACCTATCGAGGACTATCTTGTGTCTCGTCCACGAAAACCGTGAAGCAATCAGGGCTTATCGTCATGGCTATGCATACGTGTTTAGGCAACCTGAACTTCACAATGAGCAAGAGTAGTGTACGTGCACGGGAGATGGCGTCACGTTGGGCAGAACAGGTTGCAATAGCAGTGTTGACTTCATGGAAGATGGCACGAACGCCACAAAACGCAGTCGCTTGATGAACTATCGACAACTAAAAGAGGTCCCGTCATTGTAGCCTGCCCAGTCATAGGCCAGTGACTCCTATACTCCCTGCGCCAGTCTTTACCCATTACATCTGTAGCTTTACAGTCTCCACCCTTTCCGCCACCTTCGTCGCAAACTCCCCCGCAACATCCGCACACAGTGCCAGAAGAGGATTCTTCACCGCCGCCGCCTCCCCATCGACTAGCAAACCCGACAACAAGGCATCCCTTAGGCGTTCCAGGACCCGCTGGGCCTCCAACACTCGCTTCACTAGTAGCACCCGCACTACGGCCCGCCGGTCGGCGCCCCTGATCGGCAGTGTTCCGCAGCGTAGCGGCTCGTGCTCCTCGTCTATCACTGAAGTCCCACCTGTTGTACTTGATGACGATAACGATGAAGACGGTGGTGAAGATGCGCCACTGTCGCAACTTGGTGATGATGCCAGCGTCGGTGTCCAGAGGGAAGTGCCGCCCAGTTTGAGCGAAACAAGTGCTCGGTCGATAGCCTCACAGATGACGAGCGCAGTCGAAGGGCGCGTCGAACATGCGTTCGGGCACGCCATCGTGTTGCAGCAGCAGGTTATGAGCATTCTCGAGGTGGAGAGCGCGGCTGAGGTGGAGGCGATGGGTGAGGAGGAGGGCGAATACGAAGATGTAGATAGGTGATCGAGGAGGGTGGGCACGCAGTTGCATGACTTAGGCGAAAGAGAGATGTCGTCTGAGGGTTGCGGGAATTGTGGATGTGTTTGCTGCTGCGGAGGGACCACGTAGCCGCAGTTATCGAAGCCTTTGCTACTTGTGGTCGGCATTGGCGTGTTCGCATATTGCTGATCCGGATGATAGCATGGTTGATGACCGTCTGGGGTCAGCAAACCAAAGTACGGTAGCCCTTCGGCAAGAAGCATGGTCGAAGGATCGGACTGGTGCTGTTCATGCTCTCGTTGCTGCTGCTCCCATGGCGCTCCACAGAACCCCATGTCGAGAAGCTCGGGAGCAATGTGGAAATCGGGAGACATTGGGTAATAGCAATTGGCTGTTTGCTTGGGTGTGCCACATTGCGAACCGATGAAATCTGGCAGACCTTGCAGGAAATCGTCGTCTGAATGTCGATATGGCGAGAATTCCATCCGATCGGGGCTCGATAAGTCCGTAGATTGCGCCATGCCGGGAATGGTGGATGCGCTGGAGTCGGAGCTGGAACTGGAGCTGGAGCAGTTCTCTGAGGTGGATGCCAGGCTGAATGGAGCAAATGGCGACACCTCACCTGAGGTCGGAATGGTAATGCCGGTCTCCGTCATGGGCGTCAGATACCCTTTCTGGCTCGCAGTTGCGCTGGTAGTGATGCCGGTGGAGCTCTTGCTGTTGTTGCGAGTGCGCGGTCGCCCAGCTCGTCGCGCCGGGCTATAGACGCACTCTATGCCTTTCTTCGCACATCTGCGACATTTCGGGCGCTCTTGATCACATCGGATCTTGGAGTGTTGACAGCTATCACAGGCAAGGCGGTACTTGGTGGGTTTTGGGGCTGGCGCGCTGCTCTTGGCGCTGGAATCGTTGTCTTGCATACTTTATTCAACGTTGACGCTTGTTTCGGTAGCCAGAAGGCGATAGCGATGTTGCGATACATATACCGGCCATACTATCAGACCAGAGTATCCTGGGTGGGGCCGCTAAGAGCTGTTGATCTGGAGGGACTTCGGATCGGTTTCAGCTGATAACACGTACGCGCTGAGACTACCTCGAACTGCCTTGGTACTGTGATGGTATGCAAAAGCTTTGTGTGTGTGGATACACCTTTCAGGTAAGATCTCGCGATCTGGGGTGACTTCGGATAGACCCTAAGCGTTACTACCTTACGTGAACTAAGCATCCCAATCGGCTTAGCTGCAACAGACCCTTGCCAGTGGCCCACATCCGACATACACTCCAGGGCTCACCTGCTTCTTTACATAGTAAGTAAGACGGGCTCTCACTTCCGGCTTATACATAGGCCTTTTGGGTCGTACCATAGTACTGGTATTGTAAGAACATAGCGAGAGCTGATCGTGGTTACACTAAAGCACGGCTCGGAACGATGCATGTCATACATATCAGCACGAAAAACGGTGTAGCCTCCAACGTCCTCGGGATATATGTCATTTGCGTCCAAATCAATGCATATCATATGCCTGGGATATGGTATGGCTCGAGGCGATGCATGCAACAGTGTCGCTCGGCTCATCACCGGAGGTGCAGCATGCATCCAGATCGGGTACCGATTCTCCACTACCCTGGCGCCTTCGTTGACGACCAAAAGACTGCTGCGGAGTTCAACAGAGCAACGTCGTCGTATGAAAAGTCATCATACATCCCACGTTACCTAACACTATCGAAATTGACGCACTCTCAAGGCCCGTACCGCTAGATTGCGCTCGTGCTTCGTTCCTTCAACTTGGCAGCACCGCGTGGAGACTTGCGAACGGGGAAGGTGTTCTGAGAAGGGCCTTGTTCGGTTGCATCAAGAGCTTCTCAGAGATAAGATATACAATAGCCAAAGCCTCATAGAGTTCGGGCCGAAGTTTCGGTACGTTGAGCCAATTGGGTGCACGAGC